TCACTCTTTGTTGCTAGACAGCATTGTCATGTAACTGTAAAGGTCTATAGTCGTATGACATACCTGGCGGTCCTTGGGTGTATCGAAGTGATGTTTTTATACCTTGGGTATTGTAGGAATACACTTTAATTGAAATACTTAACGATGTTTGTTTACGTGTATAGGCTTTGTACAAAGTGTCATTTATCGATATGGACATTAAAAGAATTGTATCCAAATGGCAAGGATGAGTTTTTAGTGGTCTACATATAAGGGAATTTTTAATGTTCATTTTTAGAATTTTCTCCTTGACCAATAACCGTACAAAACACTTCAATACTAAAAAATATTTGTTTTTTAAGGCTCTACAACATGGTTTAGAGATATTTAAGAAATTCAATGTTTGGAGAATCAAAAATGGGAAATCTAATTTTTACCCCATAAAACCCTGTTCCCGTAGAGCGATCATGCTGGTTTGTGAACTCGGTGGAATAAACGTAGGTTTATACGTTTGTATAACGCTTCATCAAAATCGGATGATATTACATATGACATCAAACGAATGGTGATTTTGTCCTCTGGGGACATCAAAACGAAAAAGTAAATCGCTCGCAGGTCCAGGTCTTATCGAGAAACCTACGGCAATGGTTATTCCCTATATAGTCTCATCAAGAACCTAAAATTTAAAAACTTGAACTACTTAGTGAAAAAAACGTATAAAATAAAGATAGGTATTTGTAGTTATTTGAGCTGTTTGTAAAGAATGCTGCCAAGTCAAAACCATTCAAATCGAATCACGCAAAGTATAATAACGATAATGAAATAGGCCCTAATGATTTTTAAAGAAAAATGTGCATTTTAATTTGCTCCTCATAAATATAGCATCAATATCGTAATAGTTCAGTATAGTAAATTTCAAAATAACCATCTAGTTATGTAAAATCGCAAAATTATGTAAATGTAAAATTAACTCGTACTAGTTTACAGTCCCTAAGGTCCCACCCTTGCCTAAGTCACTCACCTACCTATCACACTACAACAGCCAGATGAGGCGGAACGGTAAATGGAGCTTGTTCTGATAGCTTATCACTAGCCTCCCTTTCAGCTCCAGACTTGCAACACATGTTGTAAACTTATCGCTCTTATTATGTGTTCTGGTAGCTTATCATTGGCCTCCCTTTCAGCTTCAGACTTACAACACATGTTGTCAACTTATCGCTCTTATTACGTGTTCTAACATCTTATCATTGGCCTCCATTTCAGCTTCAGACTTGCAACACATGTAGTCAACTTATCGCTCTTATTACGTGTTCTGATAGCTTATCATTGGCCTCCCTTTCAGCTTCAGACTTACAACACATGTTGTCAACTTATCGCTCTTATTACGTGTTCTAACATCTTATCATTGGCCTCCCTTTCAGCTTCAGACTTGAAACACATGTTGTAAACTTATCGCTCTTTTTATGTGTTCTTATATCTTATCATTGGTCTCCCTTTCAGCTTCAGACTTGCAACACATGTTGTCAACTTATCGCTCTTATTACGTGTTCTAACATCTTATCATTGGCCTCCCTTTCAGCTTCAGACTTACAACACATGTTGTAAACTTATCGCTCTCACTACGCGTTCTAACATCTTATCATTGGCCTCCCTTTCAGCTCCAGACTTATACAACACAGGTGTGCAAACTTATCGCTCTTATTACGTGTTCTAACATCTTATCATTGGCCTCCCTTTCAGCTCCAGACTTACAACACATGTTGTAAACTTATCGCTCTCACTACGCGTTCTAACATCTTATCATTGGCCTCCCTTTCAGCTCCAGACTTACAACACATGTTGTAAACTTATCGCTCTTATTACGTGTTCTAACATCTTATCATTGGCCTCCCTTTCAGCCTCAGACTTGCAACACATGTTGTAAACTTATCGCTCTTATTACGTGTTCTGGTAGCTTATCATTGGCCTGTAAACTTATCGCTCTTATTATGTGTTCTTATATCTTATCATTGGTCTCCCTTTCAGCTTCAGACTTGCAACACATGTTGTCAACTTATCGCTCTTATTACGTGTTCTAACATCTTATCATTGGCCTCCCTTTCAGCTTCAGACTTACAACACATGTTGTAAACTTATCGCTCTCACTACGCGTTCTAACATCTTATCATTGGCCTCCCTTTCAGCTCCAGACTTATACAACACAGGTGTGCAAACTTATCGCTCTTATTACGTGTTCTAACATCTTATCATTGGCCTCCCTTTCAGCTCCAGACTTACAACACATGTTGTAAACTTATCGCTCTCACTACGCGTTCTAACATCTTATCATTGGCCTCCCTTTCAGCTCCAGACTTACAACACATGTTGTAAACTTATCGCTCTTATTACGTGTTCTAACATCTTATCATTGGCCTCCCTTTCAGCTCCAGACTTACAACACATGTTGTAAACTTATCGCTCTTCTTACGTGTTCTAACATCTTATCATTGGCCTCCCTTTCAGCTCCAGACTTATACAACACAGGTGTGCAAACTTATCGCTCTTATTACGTGTTCTAACATCTTATCATTGGCCTCCCTTTCAGCTCCAGACTTACAACACATGTTGTAAACTTATCTCTCTTATTACGTGTTCTAACATCTTATCATTGGCCTCCCTTTCAGCTCCAGACTTGAAACACATGTTGTAAACTTATCGCTCTTATTATGTGTTCTTATATCTTATCATTGGTCTCCCTTTCAGACTTGCAACACATGTTGTAAACTTATCGCTCTTATTACGTGTTCTAACATCTTATCATTGGCCTCCCTTTCAGCTCCAGACTTACAACACATGTCGTAAACTTATCGCTCTTATTACGTGTTCTAACATCTTATCATTGGCCTCCCTTTCAGCTCCAGACTTATACAACACAGGTGTGCAAACTTGTCGCTCTTATTACGTGTTCTAACATCTTATCATTGGCCTCCCTTTCAGCTCCAGACTTACAACACATGTTGTAAACTTATCGCTCTTATTACGTGTTCTAACATCTTATCATTGGCCTCCCTTTCAGCTTCAGACTTGCAACACATGTTGTCAACTTAACGCTCTTATTACTTGTTCTGAAAATAGCTTATCATTGGCCTCCCTTACAGCCTCAGACTTGTAACACATGTTGTTAACTTATCACCCCTCGTCAGGTGCTTTGGTATGACTAAGGATTCGTCAATTATAAATTAAAAATATGTCCCATAAAGACGAAAAGTGGGTTCAGTTACGGTCATACCGTATCCCAACGTTCTTTTTTTAATTAACAGTAAAGTTAAAAGTGTTATTTTGTTTTTATAAACTCCTTAAAACTTGTTTGTTTCCAAACTTATACATTAATAATCTACGGATCCATTTAAATTATGGATTAATTTAAACTGATTAAAATTACTTAAAACATGTCACATTTATTCAAAAGTATATTTAATTGCTTCCCCAAACCCAGTGACCTAGTAACAGGTACAACTGACTTGACGCGATAGAGTAACGGTGTTTATTGAGTGAGCTACCCTCCCCCTCCCTGCCCTGCCATCACTTCCACCCCCAACCCTGCTACATTATCGCGATTGTATTGTAACACTGTGCTATTGATGATGCCTAGCGTTCCAAAAGCTTTTCTATATCGAGGACAATACAGTCAGGATCGGGACGAGATTAAGCATTGAATAGAGCCATTGTGATGATTCAAGAACGCACCCTCACCCCCCCCCCCCCACCGTCTACACCCCTTTCTTATCTAGTTGGCTGGCACAATGCCGGCACCACGCCACATCAGATAGTCTCAGGTGCCATCTCACTACAGGAAATAAATTGTGAGAAGCATGACTCCAAGAAGCGTAACTCCGAAAAGCATAACTCCGACAAGCAAAACTCTGACTCAGCTTTGTGATTTACATAATATTGTTGGCTAGCACAATGTCGGAACCACGCCATGTCGAATATTCAAGTGTCACCTCACTTCGGGAAATTAGATCAGTGTAAAAAGCGTAATTCCGATAACCATGAATTGGACACTGCCGTGAAACATTTTTATCAGAAAGTCTTGGGTGTTCTCTCACTTACGGAAAACCATAACTTCGACAGTAACTTGTGACTTTCTTTAATATTGAAAACTATGCACAACCCTTTTGAATTTCTGTTGCACTACTGTTTTTTTTTTTTTTTTTTTTTAGGTGGAAATGTTGGTGTTGTATGACTACCTGTCACTTATAAACGTTTTAGTCGACTCGTACATGTACATACTAAACCCACAAATATCTCGAAAAATGTTTCATGCAACATTTTCAGAGACGCTAATTACACAAAAAAGATGTTATTTTTTGTAAATAGGAATCCAATGAAAAAATTGAAAACTATATTTGATGCTTTCAGTACATTATTTATCAAGTAAGTTAATAAGGTTGATGCAAATTTATAACTCAAACTCTCGTTTTAAAAATACAGAGAGGATGCAAAACCGATCTGCATACGAAGATGAAGGTTGCAGTAGATTTACAGCTTATCAGCTGTAATTTACTACTATATACAACTTGTATTCTTTTACCGGAAGGAAAGTGATTATTTCCAAACAAACATCTTTATTACTCACGTACACCCGATATACAACTAACCTCAGCGTCAGACGAGTGGAGGCACATTCTCCATTTAAAACACTAATGACCACCCGTTGCGTTCCCAAGTGCACGATTTCAAGATGTTGAGCGAACCGAATTAGTACGGACCGCTGAGTAATAAAGTGTTTACGAATTTCGCGGGCATTACAATGACGTAAATATGAGACCAACTTGGTAATTCGAGTTGATTGTTCGTGCGCTGCTGGGGGAGGGGTTTTGGCGGGTGAACTGACAGTTGGTTGTCAGTCGGGCTTGTGCCGCCGCGCGGGTCAGTCAGCTGATGGTGTGAGGCTCCCGCGCTCTTTACCGCTCACTTAACTTGTGTTTTTATTGACTTTACCTTTTGTTGGACTGATTTTTGAGTTTGTGACTCTTTTGTTATGTTTTTCAGAACGAATTGTGTTGGTGTTATGTTATTTTACTGCTTTGGGTTTGCGCACTTTATGAATTGGTTTATTGTTTTGTTTTGATAACTTGTGGATGTGGATCTAAGTGGATTACAATGGCGGTTTTCCAGATTGGATTGACACTTGTGGTAAGTATCGTTCTAAGTCATACCACAACATAAATGTGAGTTGATATAGAAATACAGTAATTTATAACCAAGGGTATAGGTGACCAAACAGAACTTTTGTATGCTTCAAATGAATTGATTAATACATCTAAATTTCTAACAAACTTTTACTTAATTAAAACTGAACTTATTGAGTCTAATTCCTTATTTATTCTATTGTGTTATTTAGCATTACTTATAGCTAACGGTAGTCACAGTCCCCTCTTAAAATGTATTTTATTAGAAAAATGGGCTTAAGAGGTTTTTGACAACAATTAATATATCAAATCTAAATTATGATTATTTATTTAAACATCAAGACTTTAAGACTGCAACTCTGAAGCATGTAAACTCTAGTCTTTACATTGACAACATAGGGGCAAGGGTAAAATAACAAAGGTTTTGAAAACAAATCACACAAGTGTTTTCTCTTCAGCGAAAGTTGATAGGTCACATCGTGATATTAGAATGAAACGCATTTACTATTGATTTAATTGGAAAATTGTATTTCAAAAATATGGCCAGCTTAAACTTACTCTTGCAGTTTACCTTAGTATACATCTTAATTTAAATCGTATATTACTGGAAGAAAACAAACGTGTGTTTTAAGTTGTCATTTAATATAATGAATATAATATATATTTAATGAAATTCATTATACATTATCATTATGTGTATCTATGAAATGTAGTTTAAGTATGTTGCTTTGTAGAAAGTACACAAAGTACAAGTAGTGTCTGTTTATAAGTATTTAAAAATACAAATAGAATAATTATTTGTTATCATTAGTTTAAGTTAATATCTGATAATACTATTTCACGTTACCACTACTAACAACACAACTGTTTTTTAGACTTTACAGGGGATTTGTATGGTTCTTAATGTAATTTGAATAAAGATTTTGAAATACTTAAAGTAAACTATTATTTAAATAATTGCCTACGAATTTTCTAAAACCTTTTGCTTGGGTATAATTTACATGTTGATTTTAAACATTTATACCTACTTAGTATTTCAATCAAAATTTAAAAGTTAATTGTACGTAAGATTGTTAACGTGAAAACTATTAACAATATCAGTTATCTTTAACCATAACAACACTTATTAATTAACACTTATTATAAGCTGCCTATAAAATTTCGTTATGCTGAGGACAACATTATGCGGTCATTATTACTACAAAGAGGTGTCTATCTTTCCATCAAAACGAGGCAAAATTAGCTAAAATAATCACCAGTAGGCGTATTCCTGTTTTAATACCGAAGGGTTATTTCAAAATACCGTGACTGGGCTTTAGAATATAAGTATTTTGGGGGGTTTATGTTAATAAAAAGACATAACAGTGTTTTATCTTGTTTTGTTTACGCTTCTAAAAAGGTTTTTAACTTTACTCTTTCACTTTTTCTAAATAATTAAACTAAACATTCTGTAAACAGAAGCCGACTTCGTTTAGTAATCCTCTACGACATACTATAGTTTGTTGTTTACATTGTTTACAAATATCTACTGTTTGTTCTACAGAATCTACTATATACTGTGTCCATATTGTTCCTGTAACTCTAGTATTTTTACCATACTGTCGTCATATCGTGCAACGAAGTACCGGCGAAGCTAGTATAATATAGAGACCAACAATTTGTATTGTACAGTTACATTGTTGAATTACTCGAAAGAAATCTATTCACCGCAACCCACAATACTTGGCTTTGTGTAGCCAAACAAAACAACAAAACAGTTTTGTGACAACTGGGAAAATGGGATCTCATAATAATTAGACTAGTGAAATGAAGGCTAACAAAACCAGCCCAAGTGACTGTGGAAGAGGCTCGACCCGTGAATAGGCTTAATTGTGAATGGCAAAGGCGAGTGAATAGTGAATAGTGACGAGTTATTCAGTGTAGGGTGAATACTCCGTATTCTGGGCTCCTTGAATCACGCCGTTTAACATTATAATGCGCCCAACTGCAAGGGAAAAGCGATGCTTCCCATACTGTTATTACGATGTGTAGGAAGTTGTCTCGGAAGTTTTAAAACTCTTCGCCACTTTGGAGGATGAGGCAATGGTGAGGATAATTTATGAGAGATGTGTAGGGTAGTGACAGTCAAATCGTGTTTTAGAATAGGTTTAGTCGCGAAATATCTTTCACGTCCATTTTTCCATAAACAATTCAAACGTCCAGAGCTCATTCACACCAATACAAGCATTTCCGTTCAACTTTTCTTTTGATTTCTATAATCTATTATTTTAAAAGCTACAGCCATTGATTATTAATTTTACTTTATAAAAACGCTATATGACTTTTACAACATAGAGGCCCAAGAAAAGAATCTCTTGTATTTTGAATATAGTTGTACAAACAAATATCATAAAAAGATATTAGAAACAGGCGTATTTTTTGCAGTCAAGGACCGAATAGGTTAATTTTAAAGAGTGCAAAATACTAACTTATAACTTAAAACCATCCAAATTACTCTCTCTCCAAATTATTCTCTTTATCCTCCAAAACGTTAAACATACCGCAAACACAAAATATAAGTCACAAATTTATGAGATAGATTTATGAACTATTCTTAAACATTCCCACATTCTCCTACTCCTTGTTTATCCTTCTACTAAACATGTATGGTACTACTTATTTCTCTTGGGCAATGAATAGCATTATAAACTTACTAAAGCGATTTGCGCGAAAAGTCCAACAGTTTGAAAGGGCAATGAATAATGGAAGATAATGAGGGTATGGGCAGCAGCGCTGTACAATACTGGCACTAGACAATATAAACATATCCATAGCGAACAATAGACAACGAGAAGCGTTAAATACGTATATCGGAAGCGGACATAGGCCCCTTTGTTGTCGTTGCCAACCTTAGTCAAGTAAGTGATAAAACTGTATCAATCTAACAAATCAGCATGTTGAATGAAGTGAATTTTTGTCAAGTTTAGTTGTTTTTGGAGATAAGTGAGGCATTTGATTGTCAGCTGTTTAAAAAAGTTTGGGGTTTTATAATATTTGGCGTCCGTTAAAGAAGTAATACATCTTTAATCACCACAGTACATTTGAGTCACCGCTCAGCTTCAAAATCGACACACCATGGGGTATCATTTAAAGGCGAAGGTAAATTATTAAGAGAAGTATAACATAGGCCTATACGACGAGATATACTTACAAAGACCAAACGATTGTTAAGGACGTAGCTGGTTGAAATAATATCCGTACCGAATCTCAACTCCAACCCATTTTATCAACAACCATTCAAACGAGTTTTCCTCATTGCCCAAACTCTAAATAACTTGTGAATACAGTTTGTGCAACATTAGAAGAGCGCTAATCTTACATAAACGGTAACCGCATCTTTCAGTCACTCTTGTGCGCTTGTAATGGCCACATTATAACCCTTTTCTGAGTGAAAAGCTGAGCGCCGCTTTTCTGCTTATTAACAAAGTTGGCTCTCGGAGTTAATGAAAAGGTTCATTGTATTATCATCAAAGTGCGGGACTTGGCTTCACTTAGACACTAATACTTGGGAGTTCTAGCCTCGCAGACGGTATGTCGACGTCTTTGTCCCAACTTTGACGATTTCGTTTACAAGATTATACCGTGGTGATGAGCTTTGAAGCTGTGTTTTGGAGAATGTTGGTTAGTTTTGGTAGACATGTCACTAGTGTCGTTGTTTGTGCTAATATTATTGTTATGACTTAAAACGTACGTACGGTAGCAAAAAGTTTTAATATTATTGTTAATTTTAGGAAAAATGATTTGTTATGCTTGTTAGGGGCAAATTATTATGTAGTAAATTCTATTACTCGTATATCAATAAATATTTGTTTGTACACGATAATACAGTTTAATACACAGTAGGCTACACTCCTATACATTTAAAAGTGAACTGACGAGTATTACATACGACATTCTCAGTTTAAGATGAAATAATTGCTTAAGGCTACCAAGCGAAAGACTCTTGTATCTTGTATTTGTCTTCAATAACCTGAAGATACGATGATCCATTCATTCACTATCACAGCTAACAAATTGACGCAACAAATAATACAGTCCTTAGTATGGGTTATTGTAGTGACTTTGAATGGTGAAAGTAAACTTCTCAGCATTGTAAAATCTAAGGCATGTTTTGATATGAGGATAATTACTTATAGCATTGTAGCTTAAAAGGTAAAGCATAAAAAACGCTGCTCTTTTATTAAGACATGATTGTATTGTTAGTGTACAAGGTAGGTGAATTTGACTGCAGCACATTCAGTGGGAGGATGATAAGAACAACTGGTATTTTTTTAAACTAATAAAAACGGAATTTTCACTTTTTGGTGGAGTTTATATAATCAAAGCATATTTGACACTTGACTATTTCCATGAGTGTGATTCGTGTAAAAGCAAACACTCGTACATTGATGTAGTCGTTTATTCAAATGTCATCCCTGGCAACCTTCAGAGCCTTCTTTGCGTAGGCCTATACTTATTGGACCTTGATATTCTACAAAGTAATTACTACAGTTGAAATCAAAAACCTCAATTGTAATTTAAATTCTTCCAAAAGTGTTGAAATAAAATGGTTAAATATGTACGATTTACTTGTCATAAGGCTTTTCTAACCGGGGATATTTCAACAATGGACACAGTTGTAAATGATTATCTAGAGTTGCATTTGCACACATGTACTATGGTCTGTTCAAGGCAGAACTGTATGTACTCTCGACGCTTGTTGCACTTTCCGTCAGTTTCCCGCGAATTTCCATTGTTATCCCGTTAAACCTGTGAAACACCGTGAAATCCGAGACCTCGAGACATGATGTGCCGCCTTTTTGCCTCCTCTGCTACGTTCATTCATACAAGACGAGGAAGTAGACCGGGCAACCTGTCTAGAACGTGAACTGGAGAGCTGACGACGGGATTGGATCAGATCCCACGAAAATTCAAGTTTTTTAAAACTGTCAAGTATTGAGCACTGTACAGCTCAACTACAGAAAA